CCCCCCCCCCCCCCAGGACCACATCTGACCCGGCGGCTGCCTTCCCATCCCGGCAGGCGGCGCGCAAACGTTCTCTGAGGCTCCAACGGCGGCGCCGCCCTTCCCTGGGCGTCCCAAATGGCCTTTGCGGACTACGATTCCCAGAATGCTTAGAGGCACAGCTCCCTCGGGAACCTAGGCCAGGAGTGCGAGTCCTGCTGGGAGTTGTAGTCCATCGTTCTGGGGCGGCTGCAGGGGGAGGCTCTCCAGGTCTCCAACCCGAGCCTGTGTCATCTTACTAGGTCCTCCTGTGGACCCAGATTTGCGGGAGGATACAGAGCACACGACCCCCGAGCTAGATGTACTGCTGGTGGGATCCGTGGATGGGCGGCACCTGCTTCGGACTCTGGCCCGGGCAGCTCTCTGGCCTCGCAGGAGGTTACATGTGAGCCGGGATTGTGGGGTGGGTGGCGAGAGGAGAATGAAGGTGAGTGCCCAGACTCCTGTGTTTGAAGGAAGCCAGTGTACAGGATGTCTGGGTCCTGTGGAGGGACGAGGATGGCGGCTCCCACTCCTGGGTATCCTAGGAGCCAGGGAATCATTTCACCCTGTCTTTCCAGTTCTATGTGCTTGAGAATAATCTGGAAGCTGTAGCCCGACACATGCTGATCTTCAGCCTAGCCTTGGAGGAACCTGAGAAGATGGGGCTGCAAGGTCAGTTACAAGGACCCACATTCTGGCCCCCAGCAGCTCTTCCCCACCCCGCAGGCATTCTGGCATTTCAATGGTGCAATTACACCTTTGGGTCACAGTTGCCTGTTCCATTACTCGCTCATTCATTTGATAGTCTCAGAGCCTCAGCTTTACCCACCTGTACAATGGGGCTAAATATACCACCTCCTAGAGCCATTGAAAGAATTCCGGCAGAAAATCCGCATAAACTCTCTGTATGGTGCATGACACAGGATAACCATTGAAACCCTCCTACCACAGGAGAAGTCCAAAAAAGATCAAAGGACTTCTTAAGAGGTAGTGAGTCTCCCAGATGTGGGGAAGGTTTGGCTGAGCTCAGCCAGAGCCTCCCATGGGCCTGAGTCTTCTCAGTTAGAGACATGAATCCCAGAGAGTCTGCCTGGAGGAGGCAGCCTTGGAAGTGAGATTGAAGGGGGGAGGAGGATTTGGGTGGGGAGGCAGAAAGGATAATTTCTCAGTAACAACGACTTCGGCTTAGTGCCTAGAGCAAAGTCTGGACTGAGACAGTCTGTTCAAATCCCAGCTCCAGGGGCACCTGGGTGGCTCAGTTGGTTAAGTGTCCAAGTTCGGCTCAGATCATGATCTCACAGTCCGTGGGTTCAAGCCCCGCATCTGGCTCTGTGCTGACACCTCAGAGCCTGGAGCCTGCTTTGGACTCTGTGTCTCCCTCTCTCTCTGCCCCTCCCCTGCTCACACTCTGCCTCTCCCTCTAAAAAATAAACATAGAAAAAAATTATTAAAAAAAAAAATCCCAGCTCTATTTCCTGAGTGGCCTGGGGCTAGTCTCTGCCCCTCTCTGGGCCTCAGTTTATACACTGATGCAATGAGGATCCTAGAAATTCTTTCCGCATAGAATTCTTGTGAGGATTAAAAAAAAAAATGTATATCTCCTGGCTTGTCATATAGACTTTGTTGTCATACTTATGGATGGTACTTGTCGCTAACAGCCCAGAGCCTTCAGAATACAGTGCACACATTTCACAATGCACCTTGTAGAAGGTTCTGAAACTAGAACTAATCTAATCTAACTTAAGGTATATAGTTTTCTATTATAAGATTCTTAAACAATTCATATATTGATACAGATGCATTGATACAGATGTATATGTGTGTCCAACTAAAGGCATACAGTTCTCTTATAAGATTCCTCACTAGGGGCGCCTGGGTGGCTGAGTCGGTTAAGCCTCTGACTCTTGATTTTGGCTCAGGTCATGACCTCCTGGTCGTGAGATGGAACCCTGTGTCGGGCTCTGTGCCGGCTGTGAATCCTGCTTAAGATTCTCTCTTCCTCTGCCCCTCCCACTCTCGCTCTCTCAAAAATAAACAAACAGAGGGGTGCCGGGGTGGCGCAGTCGGTTAAGCGTCCGACTTCAACCAGGTCACGATCTCACGGTCCGTGAGTTCGAGCCCCGCGTCGGGCTCTGGGCTGATGGCTCAGAGCCTGGAGCCTGTTTCCGATTCTGTGTCTCCCTCTCTCTCTGCCCCTCGCCCGTTCATGCTCTGTCTCTCTCTGTCCCAAAAATAAATAAACGTTGAAAAAAAATTAAAAAAAAATAAACAAATAGAAACCTTAAAAGAAAAAGATTCCTA